ATAGGGAACAGCGAGTGACTGGTATTGTTACCTTCATATTTATTGGTTCTTCGGTACTAATGACTGGTATTCTTAGTCATATACCAATGCCTGTATTATACGGTGTATTCTTATACATGGGTATAGCTGCGCTTGGTGGCATACAGCTCTTCGATAGAATCCTTCTCTTACTAATGCCAATGAAGTTTGTATTTTAAAATTACTTTTTGAGGTTTTCTTTTTTTTTTCAGATTTATTTTTTGATTTTCTCTTCAACGTTTTTTAAATTCATTTAAACACAATTTTAATGTAATCTGATCTTAATTACATCCACTTTTTTCTACTTAATAAACAATTTCATAAAAATTTTAATGTCACAGAAAATTATGGAATATTATGATTCCATTTCTCTGATGATTTTATAATATCGACATATGTAATTCTTTTTTAAATTCAAGCACTAAAATCTCTTTCACAGATATCCCGAATCGGATAATCAATTCTGAACTATGTTCTAGATATATATTACAAAACCAGTCATTAATTTCAGATACCAGCCAGACACGATTTACATTCGACATGTGCCAATATCGGTGATTCATAAGTTCACATTTTGTCAGGTAGCCTGTCTTGCAGTTTTATGGATTGTCAAATCTATAAAACGGACCTCTATTGCTTTTCCAATTATGGTATACTTTTATCTTTCATTAAAATTTATTCAGGGCAATTTTTTTGCAACCATAACATTTCTTCAACTTTATTAACTATTAAAGCATTTTTACTGACGTGACAACACAATATCGCTCATATCAATAACTTTTGCGCTATTTAAAAGACTACACATATATAACAGTATGAGATCTCTGTAAGTTTTTTAGAAAAGTGTGTAAATGGGAAATAACTGTAATCAAAGAAACGTGGATCAATAATCTTATGAATATTTGAATCCATATAATATTAATCTTAGCGCATTTTTCAGTTGGTGGTAATGGTTGCTGTTCGAAAGGTCATGGAAAAATTCTTCACGGAGAAAGACTTACGTTATTTGGATGATAAAATGCCTGATTTCCACTTGAGAAAGAAGGAGGATATGAAGAGGAAGAAAAGTGCTATGGTTTGTGTGTACACTGATTTAATTTATCAACTTATTACTTCTGATGAATATATCTTTCTGATGACGTTTTTATTGTGATAATTTGCAGTGTTTGGACATGATATGAAACAGTTTCAAATATTATTTATTAGGCTTGAAATGAATGTTGTTTTAGGAAGAATTCGATATAGACCTGGAAGAGAATCAAGGTACGATACACGCCGTAAAGACAGAAGCGCATCTGCATATTCCAACAGCAAGTGGAGAAATAATCAAGATTCCGCTGGCAGCAATTCAAGAGCCTTCACATAACATTCACAATATGAATATCTCGAATGAAGTAAACAGAACTGGAATGTGGAAGCATATCACTTTGGGAACAAATCAGTTGTCTTCGTCTGCATTACTAGCGTGAGTGTTAGGTATTTCATGAAATCACCAACCGAAAATCTAAAGTTTCTTTTTTATTTAAAATTTGTTTTTCTTGCATATTCTTCATTGTGGTGAGAAATGTATCAAATGGATAATATTAACGTGCCATGTCAAAGGCACTTTCATGTAAGTCAAATAGGAATGAATATTAACTAACGAAGAATCGATTATCCTATTCAATGTATGAAAGTATTTCTCGGCTGTGATATTTTTTGAGTTTTTTTCAATAAAGTATAAGGGGATAGCCAGTGTCAATTCATGTATTCTTATAAAAGGGCATTACAGAATAACTAGGTAGATCTGAAATTTTGTTAGTAAAATTTTTTATGATAATCTTTCCTTTTTCTTTTTTTGCTAATTCAAAAAGAAATTTGTCGATTTCGGGAATTTGAACAAATAGAAATCTTAATTTTTGTGCAATAATAATTTCTTTTCAAAGGGTTCGTGATGTTTTTGTTTCTAAAAGTTTGCAATTTTCAATTAATATAAATTATAATAATGATTAATTTTGCGTTTCGCAATGCTTAAATTTTTGCACATTATTGAGTGTAATTTTAATTTGCTGTTGAAGGAGTAAGAGAAATGAAAAGTAATATTGAAATTTAATATTGATTACGATAAAACATTGATATGAATTTAAAATTACTAATCACATTAAAGAAGCATCGCTTCCTATCACATCATATATTTCATCTGTAAAAGTTTTGTAGTGCATATCTTGAAAAACTAATTTTCAATTAACATATAGTATATGATTAAAATTTAGAAGTAGAGAAAGATGAAGCGAAATATTAAATAGATAATTAATTGCCCTTAACACATAGCGTTGGTTAATTTTTACTTTCTGATATATTCACTGACTATTAGAATTGAGACGAGACAGGCGAAGGTTTACCTTCATTTATTTTTACCTGGCTTCATTGTTAAAACATGTTCAAGTGAATTAGTCTAATACAAAACTTCATTGTCATGCTACTTTTTTCTAATTTATGATACTGTAAATTAATGATGCAGCATATATTGTCGTGGATATTTATACTAGGCTAGTAAATATAAGTATTGAGTCATTCAATAGACTTTATTGTTGTACCGATAAATATTACCAAATACGCTTTAAACATTTTGCAGAAAGTAAAGTATCCATCGGGACCTTTAGAAGATTTGAAAAAATATTTAAGAAAAAGAAATATGGAGGAATTTCCAGATCAGCGCCTGAAGTGAAGATTCCAGATGACAATGAGGAAGATGATGATGCGATAATTATACGGGTCACTAAACCAACATCAATAAACTCTAATGTACAATCAAATAACGAGGAGACACCATTGTTGGATAATCAGAAATCAGAAACCAAAATGTAGTTGACTAATTTGCATCTTGAGGTACAATCGTTTTGTATTGAATTTTTAGCAGTGCTTTGTACACAGTTCCGCTTTTATCACTTTAATTTCTACTATTTTTACCAAAAATTGCTCATTTGTTATATGATCGAACTTAGAACCCTTCAGTTCAATACCAGGAAGCAATTAATTAAATTTTTATTAAATGATTATATTATTTAGTTGTTATTAAATGGTAATATTTTCTGAATAGAATGATGGAAGGAAAATTGTAACTTGAATGATCTCTAGTTTTGATTCTCAATAATGGCAAATAATTCTTACAATACAATCGAATGAATCTGTTGTATCACAAAAATATACTAGTTTATATTGTCCCTTTTCATTTTTTGAAATTAAAATAGAATTTAAATATATCTCTCTTAATAAATTGAAATATTCTGGCATTTTTATTTAAGTTTCATACAGAATCCAGGATGATTTCATTTGATTCGTACGTTTATTATTATTTAGTATTGTTTTTTTTCGCAGTCATGATAGCCTTAACGTTGATTATATTAAGTTTTTTTTTAACTTTTGAAGTTTCTAAATTGATGGTTCATGTATAGTATTCAATTACCATTCAGAATTTTTCACCGGTGCGTTATATTTAATCTATTTTCAATATTCTTTATCCTTATCCATATTAGCAACATAAAAGAATGCATTCTCAAGTTGAAATTTTCTCTGCATGAAATTCTGGACGTTGTAATATAAAATACATTATCAAACGAAAATTTGAAGTCTGAAAAGGATGATATATTCAAAAATTTGTCCTTTTTGAAGCAGGCTGAATTTGAAACGAAATACTTGAAATTCTGCAAGAGCACGAAATTGTGTGCGGAAATAGTTTTATTTCAACAATTGGTTAACTATAAAAAATTTTCTTCCTCCATTAAAATTTATGTTAAAAATTAACATTAAATTAGCTGTGCGCTATCATTTATATTAATACTTGCGTCATATAGCTGCTAATTGTCTAAAGTACCTTAACCAGTATAAAGCATTAATATTTATTATGTACTCATTTGGTAAATTCATTACTATCTTTTTTGTCCAATGGCCTCATTCTCTTGACTGTAACAAACGTAATGAATTCAACTTCTATTGTAAATTCACTTTTTTTGGCAATTTTGTATATATTCCAAAAAATGTTCTTTTAGATCATTACTTGAATTTTGATTTATCTCATGAATACAATGTAATTAAAGCAGTAAATGATTTCGATAAAGTTCTGAAGATTCTACAGCCCTAATTTCACTGAAAAAATGTTAGTTACAAATTCCAGACGTTGATCGCAATTTCAAATGGCTATTTTGCAAGTATATAAAACAGTTTTACTTCAAGAATATAAAACAGTTTTATTTCGAAGTATCGAAAATTCAGCAAGACCAAATATACTCACAGCCAATTTTTTTCTATCGATTTAATAATTTTTATGAATATGTGCAAAAAGAGTAGAAGTAATATGTTTGATTTCGTTTTAGCAATCGGTAAATGGATTATATCTTCACTGACAATTACTCAATTTTAGTTGCCCAACAGTGTGATCGCATCACAAAAAGCATATGCCAATAACCTCAACACAATATTGTACGATTTATAAATTTAAAGTAGAAAGTATTGGATTTTGAATTTTTTGATATTATAGGGATAAATGCAAAATTCAAATTATTTATCGAAAAAGGTTCTTTGATTTCAAAGATATGATCTATTCCTTTGTTTGCTACCGCCAATTATTATTATCATTATATGATTATATAATTATGTAACCTTCTGTTTGCCATTAATTTCCTCCATCAAATGACTGATTGTTTACTTATCCAGATTTGAATATTTACCATACATCACCGAATTGGAAAGGAATATAGAGCGTCTCAATTACTATTTAGAATCAATATTAATTATTACCAGTAGCCGTGGCTACTGGTAATAATTAATATTGATTCTAGAACTGGTTCTAAGTACCGATTTAGAATATTGATGGTGAGACTGCCACGGCTACTGGTAATAATTAATACTGATTCTCTCAAATGAACCGATAAAGAAGTGCAACCAAGTGACTGATTCTATTGATCAGAAATTCTAACATCTGTATTAAGTAGAAATTCTGAAAAGTTTGCATATCAAGAAGAATAAACTCTCTATCAAATAAAATCTTCATTAAACAATTCAACTGTGTCAAACCAAAGTACTTCTTCAAAATAATGCTACAAAAAAAAACTGTTTACAATAATTTAACATTTCATTCAACACATACTTATTAAACATGATGAATCCAACAATAGTCATGTATGTAACTGTTCGACGTGAAGTAACAAACGAAATAGGTTACATTTGTTTGACACTAACAAAGATGCTTTAATATCATTGATTGTTCAACCACTCCCTCCTCCAACTATCGTAAACATACTAAAACGATACTTAGCAAAATGGCACTTAAAATTCTAAAGAGGAAGAGAAATAAATTAAACATAACTGAAGTAAAGAGAGTGAATGTTTATGGCTAAGATAGAAGCCGAATGAATATACCGCAACATTACCGAACGTCCAATGTCAAAGTGATCTAACCAGGTGGATGACGGTGTGCAACGAAAGTAATAGAGCAATGCGGAGTAAGTCTGTTGCTCATTATCAACGGAATTGTCAATTAATCTCTGAACTCTGGACGGTGATGTTGGATGAGGTTAGGGAACTATCCTGTCCTCATTTTTGCTCAACCGCTTGTTTAATCTCTCTTCTCTCTTTCTCCCTCTCTCTGCCTCTCTGCTTGCATATGAATATGTTTTTCATGATCAGTGGAGAGCGGAAGTTTAGCTTAGAGTGATTATGTCAAATGCTTAACGTTTGGTTTTTTTGCCTTCATTTGAAGCTCTTTAATTGATGTTTCGACATTTGGGCGGACTTCTGCTTATTTTCACCATATCAACTTTTACACTGATCTTTACATGGAGCTTAAGACCTGAACTTCTCATTTCTACAGCTCACAGCAAGCCTAGCTGGTATTTTCCACGAACTATCACCGATTTAAATGTTCTTGTAGATTATTTTAGTAAGTACAGGTTAGTGTATTTTAATTTTTTATTAATTCATAACAGAGAACAGGGGATGCTTGGATTTCATTTAATTTTGAGCTATTACATATGCTTTTATTCTAAATGAATCCAAAATCTTTCGGATTTTTTAGTCTTCGATTTTTGAAAATTCAGATAACTTCTTTGATACGATCTAGCCGTGAAGGATAGAAAGATAACTTGGAACGAATGAGATATATTCAAGGACTGTTTTTCAGAGAGAAACATTCCATCTATCTTTTGCTATTATTCAGCCTTGCCTACCTGTACAAACAGTCGTTTGCTATTCCTGGATCTTTTGCCATGGTAATTAATTTTTAGAGATTCAAGAACTTAATCTCATATACACGCAAGCTACTGGTTGACTGTCCAACATTTTTTTTAAAGCACTGGTACTGCTATGTCCTTACAGGCCTTTATTGTTTGGCAAAACCAAACTTCCCCACATTATATGGCTAGATGGTACTGCTGTTTTGTATTTCATTTTTATTGTTTCTCAAAATTTATTCTGTGAAGAATATCCCACATTTCATATCAAGTTGAAAATGTTTTCAGAACGTATTGGCAGGAGCGTTGTTTGGTTATTGGAAAGCATTACTTTTGGTATGCCCATTGACTGCTATAGGTGCCTCATGTTGCTATCTATTGAGCTTATGGTTCGCAAAACCGGTTATCGAATATTTTTTCAGTAATCAGTTACAGCGGCTCAGATATGAAGTGAGCTTTAAATCGTTATTTGCGAATTTTGTTGTGAAAATAATGATCAGAAATTGGCGGTTATCTACATTTAATATTTGTCGACAAAATTTTATGCTAAAATCGCAACCGCATATCATTCGCAGTATGAAAATAACTTGCGCAAGAATAGTTTCCATGTATGTCATATATAGTCGTCTGAGTTGAGCATATGATAAACATATAAGCTTGTAACCTGTCAAACTCTGTACCTCAATAATCACTGATTCAAAGCTTCATATGTTAAAATTTTATCTGCTTTACTCTTAGACTTTTGGATTTGGCTGCTTGTGGTATATTATCAGTGGGTTTGATCGTGGAAGAATTTATTTCTGAGAAATCTTATTCAGGGAGGGAACTGTTTTATTGCTCGTAGTAGAGCTTGTAATCGGTAAAGGTTATCACTCACAAAAATATTTTATAGGTTGCTGAGAATCGCTGTAGACTGTTCAGCTTTTTATTATGTGCTCGATTATTTCCACTCACACCGCACTGGTTGTTAAATGTTTGCTTACCACTTGTAAATATCCCATTGAGCAACTTCGCTTTATCTATTTTGATTGGTTAGTAGTTTTTCTTTTCTATTCAATTTAATGGTTAATAAAAATAAATTTATATATAAGTATAGGCTTTTAATTTGCGTAAATTGTGGATATTTTAATATTTCCTGACAAATTTCAACTTCTGACGTTTTCCAGATCCTAATGAAATTAATGATTTCTTATTAGTTGTTTGTGTAATCTTTTATAACATTGATTTTAGTTTTAGAAATAGAAGAATTTTAGGATTAATTCCATATAACCTGCTATGTGTGCAAGCTGGAAGCGTCCTCAGTAATTTGAAAGACTTTTCTGAAGTATTCAATTTGACAACCACTATGCAGCTTACTGTACTGGCAGTAATTGTATTTTTGTTCGGCAAAATTAAAAAGAGAACTTGTTGTGCAATAAGAAAAGTGTAATTGGACTTATTTTTGTTTTAAAATATACAGTAGTATAAAATAAGAGTTAATTGTCTTTCACATTATCAGTTTGTTTTTCAATCATGTCGGTTATTGCGTTCTAACATAGAATTAGGTTTATTTTATAGGTTTTTTAACTGAAATGTTTTTTCTAAGCAAAAAGAACACGAAAGTTTGAAGATAACTTATTTCTGCAGTTTTTCAAACAGAAACAAATTTTTTAAATTGAGTGTTTTAGTGACATGTGCATTTTCAGGTTTTTTTTAACACATTTGATTTCTAAAAACTCATAATTTGGAATTTAGATTAACTCCACAAAGAAATTAAGATGCTTTTAAGACCATCAAAATTTCTGGGCATGCCTTCTCCATTTAAAACAGAATTTTTCGTTGATATTTGTACCATTCTATACTTCTATTACGCTAATGTTTATATGGTTTTAAGAATTCTCATAGGTTGCAGAAGGAAGGCGATAGAACTTTTAATCTTTTTTAATGTTCTTAAACTTCCAAATACCGTATTTCTTCAGTGAATCACCACTTCGTCAATCAAATAGTTTTGTATGGAAATCTCGAAGTTAATTATATATTTAAATGTTTTGTATTTATGGTACTCGATCTCAAGCTGTGTACAAAGAATATTACTTGGTAATACTTTTGATAATGTCTTGCTTGCAATTTTATTTTCAGTTTTTTTCCTTATGGCCGCAAGTACATATGCAGCGATGTCTTCTATTAAAAATCAACCGTATAAAAAAGTACGGTAATTCTTATTCCAGCAGGTCATTTGAATATATTTGATTCTCAGTTAAATTAATAGAAATTTAAATTTCAACACCCATAATTTTTTATGCCATTTAAATCAAAAGTATTGCCATTGTTCTCCTCTCTTAATTTCAGTACTTTTTGTTTCACTTTATTTTTAATGTAATCAAGATGTTTATGGCATGTCTGCGATAAAAAGTGCATGAGATTTTTTGACACGAAAAAATCAATCTTTAAAAGATGCAGTAAGAATCTAATTATGAAGATATTTGAGTCTCAAATTAACATGAAATTGAAATTTTGAAACTTAAATTTCAACGCTCACGTTTTTTTGTTATCACTCGCGTTTGCTTTGGAGCGTACACAAAAATGCACATTTACAAAAATCAAGAAATGAATTTGATTTGCAATTTTTGGATAAATTGAAGGTTTGGGGCTGTTGCATATTCCATTTGTCGAGAAATATATTTTTCCAAATGTTGAAACTTTTTTGGGAGAGAAGATTAAATTGAAGTGATTACTCACAATCTAATGGTAGTGGTCATATTTCCAACATTCACAAGGAAGTAACTAATTAAAGAAAAGGAAGTTTTTAAACTTTACCTTCATCTCGCTGTCTCTATCATGTGCGATATCCTGTAAAAAGGAGCTATTGCGGTTGATTTAATCTCTCACACAACTGTTTTAAAAAAGTAATCGGCTAAAATAATATTTAAAAAGAAAATTGGCACAGCAAAAAATGGGCTAAAATTGATCAACAAATTATGTAATGGTTAGATTTAACTCAAAAAACTGACTGAAGGTTCATTTTTTCATAGCAATTTATTTGCTTTAGTTACGTGAGAGTTAGAATAATGAAAAATGTCGCAGGTTAGATTGTTTGATGGAACGGTTCCATCTGTCAAATTTTTCTAATTCTATGAGATTCTACCAGTAAAGCCTAAAATAAACATGTCTTTTTGATACCATTTACAAGAATTGGATAAAATATCTTCCTTTCGATATTCGACATTTTTGGAAATTCTGCCAAAATTCCTGCTAAAAAAGTCGAGATTACCAATTGTATTAGTATTAGTTATGGGATTTTTAGAATGGATTAATAGATTTTTGAATATTTATGCAGACTACGATTTTTTTTTGTTTATGCTATGCGTCACGCTTTATGATAGACAGACATCATTCGCATATGTACATTGTTTTGCTTCACCCCGATAGTGAAATTCCTAAATCATCGTTATAATAATTACGAATGACAAGTGCTAATTAATACATTTAATGAAATTTAACACATAATAATTTGTTTTGATCTTTGGACTGTTTCCTAAATCGTTTTGTTTTGGTACTTTATTTTCTTCTTACATCAGTGAAATTCAAAATACTCAGACTGGATCATATTCGATGTCGACATCAACAGCTGCACGAAGTGCAAGGGGTAATCTTTTACTGATTTTTTTTTGAAAAAATTATAGCGCAAATTAAGATTTGAGTAGTAAGGGAGTCGATGTTAAAAATGTTTAAAAGAATTTTCTGAAAGAGTAATATGCATTTAAAAATAGGCTGAAGATGAAACAAATAATTTGCTACTTAGTAAATTCATTTCTTCTTCCTTACAAATGAAATTCTCCCTCTCTCTCTCTCTATCCATCAATAAGGTTAATTGATTCTTGCCGTTCACTATTACCATATTTCTTATCTCACATCAAGTTTCTGCTTTTCCACTTCATATCACACATATTCATCTTCACAAGCATTGCGAGAAATATTAGCCTTTGGACGGATTACTAACATTATTTTTGAGGAAATCGGTAGATGTTCTGATTGCTGTGATATTTGCTATTCACAATATTTAATATATCGTTTCGAAAATTGTTCCTTCAGAACTTCCTACAAAATTCTAAATATGGCAAAATATTTGCTGACAGTAAAATTATTGCAGCAGTCGTGCCTGAAAAGGTATTCAGCATCTTTAAAAAATTGCTTTATTTTTTTTCCTAAATTTCGAATGAAAGGAAGAATTTTCATAATCATCCGTTGTTTGCTTATAATTGTAATATTTCCACTGGTTGTTTAAAATATAAAGTGCCTTACTTAAAAAATTGGTTTTCCACTATTTGATTTAAATAATATAAAGTAAAATTTTACAACTAATAATAAAGAAAATTTGCACAGAAAGAATAATTTGTAATCTGAAGTAATTTTTTAATATTTACTTTCAGAAATGTGAATTCAATATTAGAACTAACTCATTTCTTTCCTCTTTTTTCTTCAAAAATTTTCATATTATTAAATTAAGCTGTGATAATTTCATGCACGCTAGCTGAAATAAAATTCTACAATTGCTAATATTATAGCTGATATAACATTTTACTCATTTATTAAATGTCGACAAATGAGCAAAATCGATGAAATGATTGAATTTGATTTGATATGAATAGTCTTACCAGTTTCTTTTTCAACCAGAATATATCAGAAGAAAACTTTCCTCTCACATTGACCATTCATTGATACCTTTCTCTCTCCCTCTCTCTCTCTCCCTCTATGTCCCTCTGTCTCTCTTTCTTCTTCCATTGATCATTTCACATAACATTACTGAAAATTGAAAATATCAAGTTTTTGGTAATACGACGATAATTTGTTAACATCGCATGTTTTTTACAAATGGTTGGAAGTGACAGTGATATATTTTTTTTGATATTGATCGAAATCGCATTTATCATTCCGCAAGTTTAGAATGAATATGAAATTCTAAGAAAGGTTATGTGCTCAGATTTCTTCAATTCCTTTTTTTTCAAATTTAACCTTAAAATATTTGGTTTGAGTTATTTCGAATGGTTTCTAAAAAATTTTTGTAAATCACATGCCATTTTATTTATTCGTGCAAGCATTGTAAGCTTTTAATATTTTTATTTTGGTTGAAGGATCGTTAACGAAGCACAGAATTTTGTTCAAGAAAGAAGTTTTACTTGAAAATGGTGACAGTGTGTTGCATAGAAATAAAAATTGTTTATTTAACAATCATAAAAGTTTATATTTATATATGATTGTTATCAATGACTTTTAATAAATTGTTTTTTTTGCATTTTTTTATCAATCTTCACCATATAATCTTAACATTATGCTATGATCATATCATCTCATTACTAAAATACCATTCCTGTAAGCATCCGAAAAAAAGCACTTTAAGTGCCTTAAGCTTAATCATTAATAATAGTAATTAAGAATGCTATCACAATGACTAATTAATGTGATAATAACGAGGAGTATGTTATTTGCTTATAAGATTTTTAAAATCTTAAAAACCAGTTTATAATGAGAGATTTTTGAATAGAAAGAAATGAAGAAGGAGGGATTGAAAAGGAGCGGAAATTGCTGAAAAGAATGTCTTACTTTAAAAAAAAAACCCTCCATTTTATATTTATATATTCTATTAATGAGTTTTGAAGAACCTGTGACGTGTAAATTTGTCTGAATTATTTTTTACGTAACGTAATATTATCAATTATCCTTTCTACGTGACAATGTAGTCAGTGAGATATTAGACATGTAAAGAGAAAAGATGAGATAGAAAGGGGAGAGATAAAATAAAAATGTAAAAGAAATAAGTTTGGAAAAATAAGCGAATTTCTATCGCCAATACTTGAAGTCATTCATGCTTACGACATATCAGATATTCTGCTTTAAAAGTTTTTCCCTTATGATTTGAGACTTCAATTTGAGAATTTCCATGGTATTGTTTAAGCAAAGCAAAATAAGCAATAACAAAGATAGAAAATACAATCGAGCTAAATAGTTTCCGCAACGTTTGTATTCATTCTTACGGTAGCGTGTACAACGCGTATTAACGCGCATACTACGTAAGAATTTTTAGCATATGCGCAACTTCGACTTCCGATTCCTTCCGTCGTCTACTTCTATCGTTTTAGATGGTATTCTTTTTCTGGTACCACATGAACACTGTTTTTAATAGTATATTTTCAACAGCTATCACCTTGTCTTTCACAGCTCTCATGAATAATCTCCCATTTTTCCTTTTCCTTATTTGATGACAGAAGTCATTTCAACAATGAAATTTAATAGCATAATTATTAATTAACCAAATCTTCTCTTTTCCTTTTTCAATTTTTCAGTTGATCAAAATATCGCCCTGAAAGTAAGGAAGAATATCAGCAAGTCAATTTTTTTCTATTGTCGTTCATTGATCCATGTATTATATCGATTTGCTTCTATTGTGCAGTCGTAATTGATTCATGCTCCATTTAAAATCGATTTCAATATTTTTCAACTTCCTTTAATTGCTCACATTTCAAAGCTCTATCGAACAAAAACAGTGATTTTCCTTATTTTTTTTTTTAGAAGATTTAATTTGAAAAAAAAAATTTGTGATAGGTATTTACCATGTCCAGTAATGTATTAATTCTGTATGTATTATTTCTAATAGTTAGTCTACATTTTGACTTGATCGTATGGTAATCGGGAATTTCGATATTTGAGTTCATAGCGAATGTCGAAGAATTTAAATTTTACTTGATCTTTGCTGTAAAAAAACCGACTTGAACAGATAATGAAATCTTCAAAATTGAAGTTAACTTACAAAGCTGTAATCGTTTAAATTAAATAGTTCCGAATATTAAAATGCATCATCATTTGCATATCTCAGAATACACGGAGTAAGATCCTGGAGAATAGCGGGATCACTGATAGCGGGCAACAAAATTAGTGCAAAAAAGATGAAAGTTGGAGAAAGAAAGGTGTTATTAGGACTTTTTACCATATCTTGCACAATTTACTCTCTTTCCATCTGTATACCTTCTAATCATTTGGTTTCTCTCAGACTTTTCATTTAATATCTTGAGATCTTTTGCTTGGAAGTGATAATAAAAGTATAAAAAGAGGACAAAGGAAATACAATAAATTAAGTAGTCCTTTATCGTTTGCAAACTTCCTCATTTATTTCTGATTGAAGTTTCGAATTCCAAACTTAAAAACTAAAGATTAAAATCGATGAATATCTCCTTCTCATTATTTCCATTCATACCAATATTATTACTGTTATCACGATCATATTAACATAATCATGAAGTATTTATCATTGATAATTATAATCAGTTTTTTATGTCTGATAATATTTAATTGAAGGATTTCATTCAATTGTTTATTTTTATATGTAAATCGTTTGATTTTTTTAGTACTTTAATTTGATTTAATAAAGAAATCGAAGTAATATACTGGAATTTTGCATCTGAAAACAAGTCTTTCTTCTTTTTATATTTTGAAGATAAAATGGATTAATATGATTCATCGACTTTTAACACATTGATTTTGCACCTTCTACCGTCTTTTCATTGTTTGAATTTGCTTAAAAAATAATCGGTTAAGCAATCATTCCCTCAATTTATCAGTTGCATAATAAGGCGGTAGAAGAAAAAATTATTCAAGTTGTTGCTTTGATCAAATGGAGATTTTCTTCAAAATTTTTGTACTTATTGGCGAATCACTCATTTTTAACATCCTCATTTAATCAGTCAAATTAGAACACCATCATAATTATCCAACCATATGTGGAATGAAAGATTTATTATTTTGTTTTATATGATCAATATCCGTATTGACTGCATTGCTTGCATTACACTGTGACGTCTCGTCACTTCTAATTTAACACTCCGAGATGACCAATGATTACAAATCGATGACTAAAGAACAAAGTGAGTGTCATATTAGATAACACGGAAAATAATCTAAATTATTTAAATTTTATTTAATGCGGTGATATCGTACTGATTTAATTTAAATGCCATATTCCAGTTAGTGATAAGTGTTGGTTACATCATTACTTCTCTTTGTTATTAAACAAACAAAATTAGAAAAATGAACATGAAGTAAAATATTATTTTTTTGAGTCAGTTACACCTCTTTTTTTGCATTATTTTGCTTTTTTTCAAGACATTTTCCATGCTGTTCACCATTGAGTTGAATATATACCGAGAATGCTGCTTTAGTTAAATGATTTAAACGTAGTGTTTGAAAATCATCACTCTTTTACTAAATTCATTGAAGTGATATGCGATTATTGTTAATATTATCAATGTTTTCATCATCATTCTAATCTTTTGTTTAAAATTTGAGAAAAATTCCAGAATCAAATCAACAACAACCGCTACTAATATCATTTGGCAATTCAAGTCATCCTAATTATTGCAATATGAGTGTGAGTAATCGTAAAGGATTATTGGCCAGTGTTCGTAACTATCCAACAGGAGTATTTTTCATGCTTGGCAATGAATTCTGTGAACGTTTTAGTTTTTATGGAATGCGAGCAGTTTTAATACTTTATCTTATCAATGAACATCACTTTAGTGAAAGGTTAAAATAATATCATCTGAATTTCTGTCATTTCATGCTATTCTAAAGTTACCTTTCAAAAATTACAATTATATTGTAATCACTGAATTAAATTTATTTTATTGTTACAGTCAGGCATCGGTTTTTTATCACTTATTCGTAGCATTTGCTTATATCTCACCGTTGTTCGGTTCTGTCGCAGCGGATAATTATTTCGGTCGATTTCGAGTGATACTTTGGATGTCTGCTATTTATGTGATTGGTCATGCATTGTTATCAGTTGGTGCCATACCAGAACTGGTTGAAAATATTCGCATGATATTTGATTTCGGTGGATTAGCCATTATCGCTTTTTCTACCGGTGGCATAAAACCGTGTGTTTCAGCATTCGCTGCTGATCAGGTTGAATATTCTATACCGAAAATATTAAGGAGAAAAAATCTTAGAAAGAATTAGTAAATTTTAATAGAGGAAAAAAACTTTAGAAGAATTGATAAATTTATTTTTAAAGACACACACACATATTATTGTTGTTACAATATTTTGACAAATCCTTTGAAAGATGTAAGAATCGAAGAATATATTTTAAAAAAATGATTCATATTTTTAGCTTTTTGTGGCAGATTTCTTGAGTAAAATTTATAAATTTCATACTCAAATCATTGAAATTTCAATTCATGTGACTCGATTTTGCTCTCTTTTTTACAAATTTTCAAATTTAATTTATCTAATGTTGGAAGTTTGTTTTTCAACTTTTTAGTTTGAAGAAAAGCAAGTAGATGAAAGGAATCAATTTTTCTCATTTTTCTATTTTGCAATTAATGCTGGCTCTTTGCTGGCAATTTTAACAACACCGATATTACGAGGACGAGTGAAATGTTTTGGTTCCGAATATTGTTTTCCATTGGCATTTGGTAAGTGATTAGAATGGAAAACAGTAAATATGATCTTGCGTTTTTTTTAATTTTCTAAAATGTAGTAAGGAAAGTTAATGAAACATTTCAGGTGTCAGATGCGATAAAGGATTTTAACAAAATATTTCCAATGTAAGATGAAATGAGAGAAATTAACGAGATATCCCACTGCAGGTGTTCCCGGTGCACTGATGCTACTGGCCTTCTTTTTGTTTCTAGCCGGTTGGCGATATTATAAAATAGTGCCACCTGGAAAGGGTAACGTCGTATTCAGTGTCATTAGTTGCATTTGTTACGCAGCTCGAAGAAAATTATGCAGCATTAGGAGGTAATATTTTTAATTCACTTTAAAAAAATTGTTGAAATATTGTTTACAATTAGAATTGTCACTTATAATTATATCTATCTAATAATAAATGAGAATGGAAACGCTCAACATCTACAAGAGCAAACATTTCCTGATAATCTCATAAACTCCGTAAAAATCTGAGAAATTGATATGATCACGGTTTTCATATATTGATTGAAAATTTGAAATAGATCACCCTTTTTTTGATTTAACATTAATTAATTGATGCTAATGCTAAATGGACAGAATAATAAAATAATGTAATTTGTAGTAGACAAGATAAAGTTGAACATTGGCTTGATTATGGTGCGCCCAAATATAACAATCATTTCTTACGCGGTGTCAAAAGTTTAGTGGCTGTTTCAATTCTGTTCATTCCAGTTGTGCTTTTTTGGGCATTATTCGATCAACAGGTAAAATAATTGTTAATTTTAAAAGTACTACAAAATGATTAATTAAAAAAATAAGTTTTTTTTTAAAAGTATCACAATATTAAAAAATATAATTAACTAAACAAAACTTTTTTTAATGATTTTTTTCCATCAAATGTTCGACTGAGAATGGCATTTATTTTATTTTTATCAGAGATAGGTCTTTAGAAACCGGAAAAAAGACATGCTATTTCTATTGAATTATCGATCGCTCATATTTGCGATATTCCGAAATATTTTTTCTTCTAATTTTTAAAAGAAGCGATTGAAAAACTAATTAATTATTTCTTTTTTCTCTTCTTTACTTTTATTTTTTGAAAAAAAAAGAAATAATAAATATATCTATAAGTTATACCTCTTCAAAAGTATTTTCGCAGTAAGAAAAAAAATTAATTAAATTTAAGTGAAGAGAGAAGGCAGAATCATTTATTAATCATTTTTCTGTAGAAGATATTTGAATGGAAGCATAGAGGAATAATTTATAAAATTGAGTTTTTTTATAGCAGAAATAAGATTCAATCAAAGCTGAAATTTTCTTCATTACTTGAAATTAAATAATTTTTTTCATAAATTTAATATTTAAAAAATTATTTATCATTTGATATCTAAATCATTTTATTCCATATTTACTCTATATTGATTCATAAAACTTCAAGCTATGCTAATTGATGAATATAGAAAGTTTCTTTACGAAATGAAAGTTTTTATGAGTGAGCTAACAAAAATTTATTTGAAATCATTTTTAATGATTTCAAACAAATTTTTTTTAATACACGGATGACAAATTCAGTTTAAATTAATTTGGCGATTAAGAACAAAAAATTTACCTTGTGCAACAGATTTTCTTTTTTTTTCCAGGGTAGTACATGGGTGTTGCAAGCTCGTCGTATGGATGGTCGTGTTGGTCCATTTACAATACTGCCAGATCAAATGAATACCCTTAATCCGCTCTTTGTCCTTATTACAGTACCCATATTTGAAGCATGGATTTATCCAATGGTTCAAAGAATTTGTAAAGTAACACCGCTTCGGAAAATGGCTACCGGTGGTTGTTTTGCAGCTCTGGCTTTTGTAATGGCGGGAATATTGCAAGTAATATTTTTTATGGCAATTTTCATTAAGGTATAAATTTTAAGAATTGAAAACTTTTAAAATTATTGCATTGTAATTATTAAAGTATTACAATAGAACGAGAGTTTTCCTTTTTTCCAATCTATTTTTTTTGCTGATAGTTAAAAGTGAACAAAACGATGGAATCACATCCGGAAAACGGTAAAGTGATCCTGCAAGTGTTTGGTGATTCGTCACATTCGTATCAAATTAATGGAACAACACTTACCAGTGGAAAGATTGATTTATTAGAAGGTTTTTATACCGTAACATCGAATTCGAATGAAGAAAGTTTCCAATTGAATTTATCAAGTAGTATGGGATTTGGATATGTCCTTGGATTATTTCGATCATCTCGAGATAAGTTAGTGTATTTTTGAGTTTTTTTTTTTACTTTTTTATATCTGAGCATTAGTTATATACGCCAAATTGTCAACCTTAAATGACCAATATTTTTATTTTTGTAATTTTTAATTTTTCAGGAGCAGTTTTTCTTCTTTTCCCTATAGTTATGAGAAAACTGAAAACGGAGGAACCCGTTTGTATCTGTTAGTGTCGGATGACTCCATTTTAGCGAACGGAAGTTTTTACATTGTTGATGTCCACGGGAACATCCATCAGAAATCAGTTATCAAATCAGGTATCATTCTGTTCTTGTATTGAGCATCATAAGATTTAAACTGTGACTAAGGTCATTTCATTTCACTGGCTTTTCTAATATGTCTCATCGTACACTGAAACTAATCTGATAAGTGTATACTTGTCAGATTGTATAAATTAGACTTTAAATGATGTGTTTAATAGAATGAGATGCTTTATTTTACCAGATTTTGTAAAATCATTGCTTGCCTCAATTCGTTATCCTCAGGTCAACATTTGGATATCCGTCCAGCACTGATCAGTTCACCAAAATATATGTTAAAAATTGGTCCTGGTAATTGTTTGGTTACTGATTGCCCATACAATTATACTATTTACGCAGAAGCTGGTGGCGCTTATGTCGCATATATCACTGAGGATATCATTAATGTTTACACTGTGGTCCGGTCAAACACCGTCAGCATCCTTTGGCAACTACCTCAATTTTTTGTCATAACAGTTGGTGAAGTGCTATTTTCAGTAACTGGCTTAGAATTCTCATACTCACAAGCACCATCAGATATGAAATCTGTATTACAGGTACAGTTCATCAATAAAATCTGAGTATAATAATATTATATCTTCGGATGTTTTTTTTTTGCAGATATGACGTTGAATTTAATTGGATATTATTTTAAATAAGCTGAATCACTGTGAAAAAAAAGAGTGGACGAATTAACTTATTCATAAATATAATTTGCTTATTTGATTTGTAGGCTATTTGGTTGATGACCGTATTCCTGGGTAATGTGATAAATACGCTAATTTTCGGATCGGATATTGTTACCGAACCGGCAACCAAATTTTTTGTCTATGCTTTGATGACGATTATTGTAATTGGAATATTTATTGGACTTGCAATTAGATATAACTACAATAACTATACAGAAGACGGAGATGCACAGATGAAATCTATCAAAAACCCATCATCTCATGGAAATGTAAGAAAAAGTGGCATACCTTTCGACAATAATCCATCATAACATTAAATGTTAAAAATTGTATAAATGCTAAAATAGAAGATTTGAAATTAAAAGGAAATATTGTTTGAAAGAATATTATAATAATCTTATCATCATTTTGTACTATCATACAGTAGGATGAGATTACTATGTTTAGCACTCTTATCCTACCATAATCTCTATTGTTATATTGAAATGATTTCCTATATTATTTATCCTTCAATTTTTCCTCTAATGAAAAGGAATGGAATTTTTCAATTATTTTTAGAACGTAATTATGAATTGCTACTGACCTGATTTTTGCAACAGTATATATTATCATATGAGAAAAAACATCAAAATAATTATTATTTGAGAATAATGATACTTTTAATTTCTGGCATTACTGCATTACAATAATTTCTATTTCATGTGATTATTTGAGAAAGATAGCCATTATAAGTCAAGAATTTTTTGAAGATCATTGTATTATGAGTCTGACATTCGTGAAGTTTACTGCTTTGATGCAATATTATCTGCTATCATTATTGTTGACATTTTAATAGAATTTACACTCGTTAGAAAAGCATCATAAATTATTTTTAGTGATTGATTGGTTACGTTTAAATAATCTGTTAAGTTTATAGTCTTTCTTTTTCGAATTTAGAGATGAAAAAGCAATTAACTGCTCGCTATGAAAGTTCAAGGCAATATTAATTAATAATATCACACAAAGAGGTGGACAATTCAGGTGGACATGCAATGACCGTATATTATAACACCCGAGGATAATAATGCAAAGGAATTTCTTTGTCATAACAAAGAATAGTAAGGAAAGAAGGCAATACAATGTATACCTGTTTGGCAACAGCAATATAAAAGCTACATTGAATAAAATTTTGATAAATGGAAGAGATCATGGATTAGTAGTCAAGAGTTAATTTCAACCTCTTTTTTCAAGAAAGAGTGCGATTCACAAACTTTCTTCATCAATTCTCTTCACATAACAGTTTAGGAGAAAGTTTTCAAAAAATCCTAGATTTTGATTAAATCCACAATCATTTTGAGAAACATGGTGGCTTATCTTTCAATGGATAGCAACAATCGGAAGTGTGAATGCTATTATATCTCAGAAAGTCAAGAAGAAAATACGAAATCGGTTAGAGAGTGAATTAAAAAAGAAACGAACAAAACAAAAACAGAAATTCAAATGATTGAAAGGAAATGAAATTCAAACCGAATGGAAAATGCTATATCTGTACTCCATTATGTTCATGATAATGCCCAAGTGATATCAAATAGTGCTAAAAAACTAATTAATTAATTGAATTCGTTTTGATCTTGACATTTTACTCCTTTAAAGGCTTTAATAAGAATTGTCCATCAGAAGCGATAGCTTGAAGTTGAACGACAGCTGTTAAGTTATCGTATTGCTTTTTGAAAATTGCAGAATCCATTTCCACTTTCACGGGTGTTGCCAGAATAACGAACTAAAATATTTGTAGCATACAAATATTAGAAACCACCTTGTTGCTAATTGAAAAACTGATATTTTTTAATTTTAGTAAAAATATTGAAGTGTTCGGAAAAAGATCGAGGAACAATCTGAACCAATATAAATGTATATCTGCTATTTAGAGTTCATTGGTGATCATACTTGCGTCTTCAATGATTGAGTATGATGTTGAAGCCATCGTTTTTTAAAAAACAATATTCCAATTGTTAAATACTTGAAAATGATCAGTAGAAGAAGTATGATTAGTATAAAAAGTACAATTTTGATAAGAGTTGACAATGATGTAATTTCCAAAGCCAATATATCGGCATCTTCTGCAAGAAGAAAATTTGTGAAGCATATGAATGAATAAGCATCAATTAAATTCGTAAATAAATAATAAAAGTATTTTTGTCATTAAGCAGAATAGTTTTCGAGAAAATTAAAAAATCAATTTGCTCCAATCTAAGTATATAATCTCAGAATTTCGGAAGTCATTTCTTCTTGAGATGTCGCGAAATATAAATAAAAAAAGATAACATTGACTTAAATTCAATCAACAAACCTGCAATTTTATTGGAGAAATTTGTAAAAGCAATTTCAAATCGACCACCGAGATTGTCAGCTGTTTCAGTGATCGATTTGAAAAATTTAGTACCAACGGATTCAATCATTTGGATGACATTATTGCTTGATGCACTGCAATTCCAAATTTAAGTCAGTGATTATGGAAATCGAATGAACTGCTCTATCGAAGCATTGTACGAAAATGGAATTATTGATTGTGTTTGATAAAAAGATGAATGAATCGATGCTTTTTTTAAGAAGAAACAAAGGCATTGTTGTTAATTGAATATGTAAATAATCATTAAACTTTAATTTCTAAAAACAAAGAAATTATAGCAAAGTAAACGACAATGAAAAATTTTTGACGAAAAGCACATAGCATTCAAAGTCTGTACTAAAGCGTGGATAAAACATATTGCAAATAACTTAACTCATTATTAAGTTAATATATTTAGTACTACCAGTTGGTAGCCAACAGTTTTTAAAAAATGCAAGTTAAAAAAAGTTATTAAAGAAAAGATATGAATAATAAGAACACGATAACTGGTTATCTTAAGCTATACTTACCCTCGTTACACTGCAGTGCAATTAGAATGCTCTCTAAAATCATGTTTAGGTTGTTTTTAGTATGAAAACATTTATACGAAACCATAAAAACAAAAATATTAAAGAATGATCGAAGCAAGAAAAGATATCGAATAATATTACTTGGATGTCTCTTTTTACTTTGATCATTTTCCTCTGATACATCTTTGATAGCTTTAATCTTTTAATATCAAAAAGTCTTTTGAAAAATGATTTCAGAATATGTATGGTTTAAAGTCACAAAAAAATATTTATCATTTTTATTTGAACTATTTTGTATTTGTATGCTTTCTTTCTGCTTAGTAAATATCCTTTGTTGCTTGAAAGTGATGGATACAAAAAAAAGAGGGAAATGGAAAACTGGTTTTAATTATAGCACATCTATCTCAATTTTAAAGCAAAATTTTAAATTAGACTTGCAAATCGAATTTTATAGTTACCTTTTTCCAGACTATTTTTTCCAAGAATTATCAATTATTCACTTAGAAACAATTCCTTTTCAATTCGCCGTAGAAACAGTCTGGTTATAAAGGAGTATCAGTGTGAATGATAACATATCACTTCTTATCCAGCAGCATTTAACAATAAAAAAAATGACATACTGTCATCCTGAATTGTTAACTGTTTGCGGTATTAGTCAATTTTATTGTGAATTGAAATGTTGGTCAGTATACAATTGCATTTGTAAGAAATGTCATTGATAAGCATTTCTCTGAAATGTCATTGATAAGATTGAATAGATTATGTATATAATATTTGACAACCACTTAATTCATTATTAGCAAAAATGCAATAGTCATCCGCTTCGTGTTTGATTCAAAAATCTATAAGGATGATCAATTAGAACACCCTTTATAATGCTATTTGAAATGAATAACCTAAATTCATCCTAAAAATGGTTTTTGAAAAAGGTCCAGAGGATATTATTGCGAATCTAAATAATGCAAAATATCAAATTTTGAAATTCATGCATTCTTTTGAATAACAGCACGAATAGTTTAGATCTATCTTGCATATATAAGCATCTGCGATCCAGATAGTGATATAATCAAGAAAAAAGGAAGCATAAAGAACTAATAATTAGCTATCATCAAAAAATTGAATTCAAAAAAAGGAATGAACAAAAACATGCTGAATGGGAAGTCAGAAGAAAAATAAAGTGAGCGCAGGATATCGCATCAGTAACTTTTTTTAAATAATATGAGAATGATAGAAATTATTTTGATATGGATGGGGAGCAGAAAACCTGTTTTCACTCACCTGCCTCTCCGCTAGCCTCGGTTCTGCTAATTACCAGAACTTTTTATTGAAATACCTCAAAAAATGCACAATGATAGACTTTTTATTCCTGTGATTGACCTTAACGCTCCTTTCTTATTTATTTTCGACTAAAAACAAGCGAATCATAATCTGTTGATTTTTTTAAATCGTTATCGGTGATATCTGACTATGATCCTTTTCCCAAGAATGATTCCATGATTCTCGATTGCAGACATCAGTAGTTCTATATATGTTGACCATTTAACAATGACTATTATTGATTGCTACCTGCAGAATCATGGAGATTGTTTGTTTTCTCCATCAAAACGGTCCCGCAATTTGGGATGAGATAGTTGCACAGTGTGTAGCGTAATTAACGGGGGAGAATTGGGTAGCGACGCTTGTGCGTGTAAAGGTTAGGTTGTGGGAGAGATGGGGTGGGGAGGTTAGGTTCTCTTGGCACCGGTGTTATATTGTTAAAGAGGACGAGACTCTTCATGAGAAACCAAAAGAGGTCATGGATTCGCTGAGAATGCGCAATGGTAAATGTCGTTTGTGTTAAGCATTCATACTTTTAGTTAGTTACTGAATGACAAAAGAGGAGGAAGAGGAAGTGAAGCCATCATCAAGTGATGCGATCATTGCATCACTGATCAACGAAGTACGCAAGACGAATGAGGTGATTTTATCAAATTTATTTTTTTTTTTGTCAAAAAAAAGCTGTTACTTCTTACAGCAAGATTTATAAACCGTTGAAAGTAGTCATCATGAAAGAAAAATTTTCAGCCGTTCGATATGAAAAGTTTAATTCGAGACAAACTCGAAGTTGCAACGAAAAGGCAAGTCTAATGTTGATCTAACAGATTTAAGTAGTTTAAACGACAAAATATCTGCTCTTCATATCATTATATGAAGTGTCTTTTGATATACCTGAGATTATAAGTTGTTTTCACAACACGGTTTAAATCCGTTTTTAAAACATTAGAGGCTTTTTTTTATTATAGTAACAGTTATAGTGTGCAATGTTTTTTTTTTTTTTTGAAAAAGCTTGTTATATGTTGCACAAATGCTTGAACTTTGGTGATTTGTCAGTCATCGTTTGCACAGCGTAACATATCAGCGATATCACTTATTGATAAGATTTTAACTTCAATGTTCATTAGCTTTTGTCACATTATATATATTGTATTTTGAACATTGTTTATATATGAAAACTCTATTTATTTCAGAGAGGCAGAAAGTGATGGAAGCCTTTCATCTCCACATGGATATAACAAGGAATTAAAACGACACAAAGACAAGAAATATAAAAAGAACAAGAAGTCAAAGTATAAATTACGATCCAAATCAAAGTCACCATCACGCAAGAGGAAGAAGTACATGGGATTATTTTTGCAGAAAGGAGTTTGTCTTGTTACATTTCTGTTACCTTTTAAAATCATTTCAGACATCGAAGTCGTAGTCGCTCTGAAAGTATGGAAGAGAAAATCTGTCATGCAAACATTCAGAAATTTGTTACTTATACTGTACCACCATCCGTTGAAGCTGTTATGGAAAAGGTTGTTTTTCTGCCCCAATTCATAACAATATTAGAATCATTAAATGCGTTGATAATCGTTTTACGGAGAAATAATACGATTTCAAATTACTAAATTTTATATATTTTGTTCTACTTTTAACTGGTGCCAACATAATGATAAAGTTTTAAAAATTCTTCCAGCAATGGGTAATCTCTTACTTGGAAAAATCGATAAAAATTGGCGCCGATATAAATTATTTATTAAATCGTGTTAAGTAAAAGGCGTTGTAAAAGTTGTTTTTATATTTTTATCCTGACTGATCTTAAATGAAATTTGATATTCTAGATCTCAGATGATGAGGATGATCTCCCTGTTGGTGCAGACTTCCTCAGTGTTAATGCTAGCAGTTCAAAAATGGATGGAAAAACTGCGCTATTTCAAGATATTTCTAGTGCCGTACAAAATAAAACAAAAGAATTTAGTAAGTCCTTTTTTCTTTATTTTTTTTGTTAGCTTACAAATTATTTTTGAAAGACAAATATATTTTCTTTGCTCTACAGATGTTAATGAAGAAGTGTTTCCTTTGGCTAAAAAGAAAAAGAAGTCAGAAAGTCCACCTGTGTTGAAGAAGCCACGACCTTTATCGGAAATACTAGCGAAGGTACGAGCAGAAAGAGATAATACGTTTTTGCCACGTAATATCAAATTGAAGCAAGAAAATGGAAAAAGGTAATTGAAGCAAATACTTCTTGTATTTTATGACTTTACTTTATTTAAATGCGATGGATTCCTTTTTTATGAAAAAAATAGCAGAATCAAACTGATTTGAATTTCTTATTTTCTATGGAATTAGATTATAAATCTTATCACTCTCAAATAATATGAATGTCGTATGCTGAAATGTTATCGGTTAATCGATTTAACTTTTGTTGGATGTACCAATGTAAGAAATTTCTTTGAGATCGCTCTTCTCTTTAGTGGCTTAACATATAGATCATTGAAGAAAGATCGATCTTAAAAGCGATTTTTTATTATTTGCACTGGTTTTACATGGCTTAATTTTAACATAACAGATGCTACATTGCAGTATTGGCGGGTCAACCACAGATGTGGTCAGTCATACAATTCCAAGTAATTTTTTTTTCTTTAATCACGAAGCACTTTGTGTGAGTTCTTGGAAAAACTTTACTTTATATATTCTGTTAATATTAATAGTACTTGAAGGGCTCTCGTTACTGTAATTGTTTATGAATTTGTAGAGACCGATGATAGTAGGCATGATAACATTGAGTATGGACCAAGACCATTGGAAGCTCTTGGGACACAGCCAATCTCCGAAGATGAGGATGAATTACAGTTGTCGCCTCTTAAAATCAAACATACTGAAGCTTCAAAATCTATCAAAATTGTTACCATAAGCAAAGTTAGTATTTTTCTACAATGTATGGTCCACTCATAGCTCTGCGTAGTTTAGTGAATGTTTATTAGATTTTGGATTAGCTGCGCAGCAGCTTATAATAAAAAATCATAAGTGGAAGATTTGTCCTTCATCAGAAGTCTACCTTTTATCTTATCAACACTATCCAATTAAAATTATGGCCATAATTACCCGAACAAACCATTAGTGTGCCAATGTATCATATTTGTATTAATGCATATTGATCTTTTTAAGTTTTATTTGAACTACATTTCTTTTAAGGTGCTATTCGGTGATCAGAAAAGAAGTCAAATGGTAAAGGATGGAGAAATTCCAGTAAGTGATGCAAATGCGGGACCTTCTTTTTCAAATGATGACATCGTTGACGAATTGGTTGCTGAAAAACATTCAAAATCGGAACGAAGGATGAGTGGAAATGAAAGTGAGACAAGAAGAAAAACAGATGGTAAGATTGAGATTATTAAAATGTCATTCATTCAAAAAGGCTTCATTAATATTATCATTTGGTGAAGAATTATATAAGTTCTGATGAATGAATTACCTTCCTTACACTACAGTTTAGTGTGATGTATTTGTTCAACATTTTTTTTTTACATCAATAGCATGACTTTTAGCAGAAATACTAGAAAAACTACATAAATTAGATCTTTAAAAAAGGATTTTCATCATTTCTTTGCTTTCTTTTCATAAAATATTTTTCAAATGCAGTTTCTAAATGGTTCACTAATTAAATCTGAAAACTTTAGTCTATTTTGAACTTCCTGTGATTTGCATCTTCAAGAACTTTCAAATTTTTTTCCAGAAAAGAAAAGGAAAAAAGAAAAGAAAGATAAGAAGCACGGAAAGCGATATTCAAAACGCAGCAGTTCGTTATCATCGGATAGTGAAAAGGAATGGAAACTTTTGGAAAAGAAGTACAAAATTTTTCTTATGTCATGCTGATTTTTGCATTTTTCATAGTTTTTGTCTAATTTTTTTCTCACTAAACACAGTAAATTTCAGGAACAAAGTGAAGGAGCATTTACGATACTCAGGACGGGAATTTGACAAAACTCGTAGGCGACCTGGTTGGTTTTGACTTGAATTGCTTGTCCTCGACAACATTACACGATAGATGCTTATATTGTATTCTCATGTTATGTGATGAATGATGTTTGAAGTAGTTTTCAGGCAGTCTTTATGTACAGTCGTATTACGTAGATAGTAACAAAAGAATACATGAAGGTTCGAAGTGGCAATGGAATCGTGGAGAAAAAGATGTCAAAGAAAAAACTAGTGCACTTTCATTACAGTAAGTAAATCTTTGGTATGCAAATATATTAACTTTGTTGAGAGGCTTAAATGCTTAAGAGTCATTTTCCAGCACACGTTCAAAAGGATGGAGACAGATTCGCTCAACAAGAAGCCCTTATTTGGAACGCAAGCGAAAGCGGTCACCATCAAGCTCGTGTTCACGTTCACGTTCACATTCACATACAAGGTTTTATTTTTGTGGCATTAATCCTGGTATTTTAGCATCTTTATATTAAATTTTCAACAAATTGATGGAATTTATAGGTCGTTATCAAGTACTTCATCACGAAGCTCTCATTCATCTTACTATCGTAAAGTCCGAAGCTCTTATCGTGGTCATAATTATTATCATTATCATCGGAATCGAGAAAGTAGCAGTAAGCGGCGAAGTGATGATGAATCAAATGGTCATAAAATTGACAAAAAGAAATTACTAGAGATTGCACAAAGAAATGCTGCTCAAATGGCACAAGTTCGTATTACTTCGTTTTGCTTGTAATTAGATATTTTTTGGTTTTAATCAATTTCAGTAAAATCAGTTAGTTTTCTACCGTTTTTTTTCCCTTGATCACTTTAGCCATTTTGACAGCGTTAGTTTTAGTGGGCTGAGGTTTCAAAATTCAGAAAAGTTTTGTGTTAAAGCTGGTGGATTAGTTACTCTAAGATACATTTTTCCTCTTAAGCATCTGAAAACCGTTCATATATTAGATCTTTTTTTATGAAATCAAATTTACGAAAATTTAAAATTCAGCTTGGTTATTTACCGAATGCCCCATTTGAAGCAAAAGCCCAACTGAAAGCAGGTGCACAATCTGTCGATCAACTTGTTGGTAAGTGCTTTTTGCATTTGATTTTTACTCTATATCTTACTCTGTTATCTATATCTTACTCTGTTATTAGTTACATGCAATATTTGATTTTCGTTTCAGATTTTTGTCAGAAATTACAACGGTCGCAAGATAAAGCTGAACGTCATGAGAAAGGCGAGTTAGTATCTAGTGATGAAGACTTGGCGCCGAGAAAGAAAAAAATCGAAGATGATACTGATTTCTTGAAACATCCATTTGCTCTGAAGCCCGCTGCTCCAATCACTATTAATATTCCGGTGAGCTGCTCTCAGTTGCATTCAATTTTCCAGTTTCACAATCCAGTTGCGGCAGTCACCGGATGTGTTGAAACGGAAGAAATCTTAATTCTCGCAGTACCTTCGTCTCTAAATATCTATTTTGGACGTTTTATTGCAGTGATTGATTTCAATCGTATTTGTTCTTCACTTACTTAAGGACATGAAATAGAATTTCGGAATCACATAACCGCTTCCTTTTTTAACATTTATTTAAATCTTTCTTTTTTATGAACTGAGATTTTTGCTGGCAATATTCTTCCATATGATGAGAAAATAATGCTTTCCAGAACTCGATTCCACTTCCAATTAAAACACCTGCACAAAGGACACTCGAAGAAAGCCAATTACGCATTGCTTATCCAGTTTCTTCAGGGATGCAGCACCGAGAAAAAGATAATGTAAGTTCAGTTTTATAATATAAGTCTATCAGTCCGTATTTTACGCTATGTGTAATCATTTAATGAATTCGTTTGCAGGGGTGGATACCAGTTAAAAAAGATGAAGTACCATCAGTGTGCAGTCCCGTACAAAAGACAAAATTGGCTCCAGTTCCCAAGGAGAAAGAGAAGGTCGTGTTTTTTGTATTTTTCGTTTTTCTAATATGTTCTAGTTCGGAATTTTCTTATACTGATTGTGAGGAATTTTATTGTTTTTTGTATGCTTGTTTCCTATTTGCTTTAGATAATGTGCTTTGATGTTTGACCTATTCGAACATTCTGGGGATATATTTGATAACCTTCTGCTACTGCCTCCTTTTACAAGAATAAATGTTCAAAGACGTTTTGGAACAATTGAATTTTTTAGCGTTTGATCAACTTTCTTGAATTATTCGATTCAAGCCATAAGAAATTTTTTCAGGTCTTCAGTACATTTGAAATCGTATCTGCCGAATCATTCGTGTTACCACCACCCCCAACACCGCCGATATTGGCATCATTTACACAGTCCGCCTCTTCTTTGTTGAATTTGCCTCCACCTCCACCACCACCTGATTTGTTTTCTGGTTCTTGCAACATTTCGCAAAATCAAGAAAAGAAATCTCCTTCTCTCGATTTAAACTATGGTAATATTGTCACAGTACCGGAGGAAGAATCTGTATTCAGGGAACCAGAATCCCTCCATCACACGGTATATCATTGTGAAAAAGATTTTACTTCAAATTCTGACCTGAAAATTTAGATCCAGAATGTCGTAACAGGATGTATCTCGTATGTCTGTTTGTTAGGATATTTTTTGTTGCAGTAGTTGTATCATACCTAGTTTTTCCTTGAAAGTTAAAGCAAAAGTGTGAGAGAGATTAATTTCTTGCTTTTTTTGTGGTGCGTTTTCTGGTTGTTTTTTTTTGATTAGTTTTCCACCTTGAGGAATCTTCGAATATGTGATTATTTAATATTTGAAGTAATTTACGGTGGATAAATGAAAGTGACGTATTTGGAAGTTGCTATTTATGCGCTCAAATTTAGCAAGAATCGTACGGCTACAATGTGCAGGATCCCTTCCAACTAGAGCAAAATATCTCCTTGTTTGAGAATAATGGATGATTTCGTTTCTCGAATTTTTCATGTTTTTCTGATTTCCTTTCCATGGGTTTTCTGATTTCCTTCCATGGTTTTTATGAATCGGTCGTATTTTCTCCGATAAATATTATATGACTTACTTATTTGGCATACACGATTTCTGATTTTCTACTGGTAACTTCAGCTGAAGCACCATTCATATCTGTGGGTATAGATTTAAATTCTTTTGTTTTAGCCGGCAAATGTTGGCAGGGTGATGGCAAAACGAATAAAAGCAAGTAAGCTGTTAGCGAAAGATCCGAATGACTATGAAGCAAGACACCTGTTGAAAGAAGCTGATGATCAGGCAACTTTTTCTCTTATCCGATAATAAGGTTGTCGTGAGAGTGCGGACTGTAGCCGTAAATAAGGAATAAAATATATTGTAAGGTGTCCGTTTGGTGGAGTGATGGAGGAAGAATGGCTGGGTGGTTTAGTTTCTCTATAAGAGGCTTCCTGAAGTTCGTTTCCAAACTGATTATGGTTTTGGTTATGTCTACAAAACTGTCGCTCATTATTATGAGCGGCATAAAATTAAATCCACCTTCCAAACCTTTCGATCTTTCTGATTCTAAGGTATTTCACAGTGGATATAATAAAAGCAGCGTAGAACTGAATTACTCAGGAACGCTTGGTGTATTCTTCTCACTAGCGGAGTCAAGAATACGCGACACCATTATTCTTCATACAATCCATGTTCATCTCGTTCAACAAGCTATTTTTCGGTCTACAGTAGACTAAGATTGTCTATTTTACTATTTTTTACTCCGATAAAGAGCATCATTAAGATCGTGTAATCATTAGAAATTGTTAGCTTTCAAAATTAAGTGCATTTTTAAGAAACGGATGAAATCGGAAATTCCAGTTGTCATAATATAAATTTTTCTGTAAATAAAACACAATGAGGAGAAAATTGTATATTAAAAAATAGGAGCGATTTTTAGGCTATTAATTCAAATATCTGAATGGATCTCACAAACATGTGTTAGATAAAATCTATGCATATCTTTTATCAGAAGTTTTTTGATTCGTGCTTTAAAATTTCAAAATGGTGAATATCACTTTACAGATAAGAGCATGGGCTGAGAGTAAAAAGAATTTACCCGGAAAGTTTACTGGATCCACTGGCGTGAATGTATTGAAGGCCGACCAGCTTGGTCCGGATGATCCGCGCTTCAGTGTTTGGGCAAAAAAGGTTTGTTGGATTGCCTTAAAAGATTTTTGTGGAAAGCTCGCCACATTTGTATGGCTTTAAATCTTTACTCTGGGGGACTTTGGCCGGTTTGAACTGCGGAATGTGTTTCGAAAAATGCATTGCTGAGATCATAAACATTTTGTCACAAAGACTTTTAGAAATCATTTGGGTCTATACGGCAAAGTTAAGGAAAATGCCAGATTATCTTTGTAATGCTAAGTGCGCTTTTTATTTTTGCGCTCCGAGCAATAATTTCTTTCCGGAGCAGCTATCAGTGGAAAATCCGATGGTGTATAACGGGCCATCTATCCCATAACTATTTATTTTTGGTGTGACCATAGATTTCATAATGGAAATATTACTGGTATACTGAAAACCTGTAAGAGAACTGCGGCAGTTAATCAAGCATTTTTCAATGTTTAAATGAAAGTAATGTAGATAGGAAAGCAAATAAGTTTTTGAATCATCAGATTGTTGCATTACATCAAATAAACTACCAAATTTTGGTTGTATCTAATCAATATGCATTTTAACAGACAGTGAAGTTTTAATGTGTGAATATATTTCCTTGTTTAAAATTTTATTATTTCGTGCATCATTCAGAGGTTTTGTAATGAAGAATGATTATGGTTTGAATAATGTTTCATTTCACATTTCTTTGCCTTACGTATATCTTCCGGTATGGAAAACTAACAAAAAAAACTTTTAAATTATGAATCATCAATGAGACCAATACTAACTTTAGGCAACTCTCTCATATCTTTGAGGTGATGCTGTTGGTATCTTAGAATAATAACACGGTCAACATGCTACGTAACGAATAATATTTGCTGATCAGATCTTTTCAATTGATAATAATGGATGCTTTTTCAATTCATTACATTTTCTATGCTCACATGTTTGCTATCGCTAACGATAACTCCCAGTTAATTTTTTTGATGGAATTGCGAGAAGTTTCGATATGTTAGAGAGTTTGAAATACTTTTTGATGATATAATTTCTGCAATGAATACAACAGATTGAACTTCTGCTTTATTTCACAACAATCTGAGTTTTTTCTGCGGTAAATCCACTCGTTTAAGTGATTTTGGATTAAGCACAACAAATTTTTCTTAGAAACCTTGTGAAAGTTCGATTGTATCTCAGTTCTTTCATTTTTATTTTTTGTTGATTTTGATTTCTGAAATGTATCGTTTATTGTATATACCAACCAACAATGTGCCAATGAAACCCGTTTGCATTACTGAGTATTTTATTGGCTGACATTCTTGACATCAATAATTAACTAAAAATTTTATATTACTTGTTAGATTATCAGTATTTGAAATGGTTCACAGTGGGTGCACGTAATGGACTTCATATTTTGGTTCGTTATTCGACCGGTGTGCTTCATATATGATGGTTTTGCTTAGTTGCTGTGAAGAAAATTGGCTGAAAATGGACGAACAATTATCTGGTTACAAAAAATAGATTGTTAATGTTTTAATGACACGAGTTGCACTTTTTGCACTTTTTTGCGCATGTGGCAACAGGTCTAT